CTTTGAGCATCTGAGGAGGCCTCAGTGAAACCCAGTGTGACGTAATCTAACATTATATACATAGCCATGCACTAATTTGTAGGGCTGCAATGATTCGGTTGATTCATCAAAAATCAAATCTGACACTTTACTTTATGGATTTAATGCCAAAGTGCAGACCCTGAGAGTTAAATGAAATCTGATGTTTTCACTTGCATGGAGAATCAAAATATTAAATTCTTATATCTGATATCAGTCGAGACTCGTGTATCAATCAAGGGATAGCATTTTATGAAATGAGTGAGTTTTGTTCCACCTACTTACAGTGACTGTAGACTGCAAGCATACAATACCGTGAAAATAGCATGTCAACAAGTCCATACTGAAATGTGAAAATTAGTCCTGTACAGACAGTATCCGGTCATGTAGAGTGTTCATATTCATATGCCTGTATGTTTTAAAAATCTATTTCATAAGGTTTATTCAAGATGTCATTCACTAATTTTTTTTACATTATAATACACATTATAATGTCTAGATAAACCACGAAGGAAGCAAAAAATGCAGCGATTTTTTTCCCATTTGTAATATGTCATAATATCCCCTTACTTTTTTCTTCTATATTTTCATTTTTACGAAAATTATTATAAAAAGGTATCTGAAATAATATGTATGGGTGGTTATTTCCCGATAACTGGATAAGAAGACTCGTACTCCGTACTCGTATAGTACGCCATTACTGCCAAAAATCGTGGCAATCGCATGTAGTAAAATGTGAAAAGAGTCAAATACATTTGTGACCAATTTGTGTTATTCCGGACAAGCCGAATAGCGTAGGTCACGGAAAGAGGCGAGTAGTTACGAATGGAGTCAAATAGTTTCCTTGTGATTATCGAATTTCATTATTAGTTCCGGGATTATAAAATTATCTTTTTACTGATATTTGTTAACGACATAAGAAACTTACTCAAGAATAAGTGAATCATATGTTAGGTTCCTAAAATTATATACCATTTTGATGCGCCTACTGCCAGGCCGGTTTACCGGCCTGTGGTGCTGAATGGGTTAACTAAGGTAATGAAATTACTGTCTTCCTTTCATTTGAAACAATGCCACTGGCCACTGTCAGCACACAGATGTGATTGACCAATATACATTCTCAAAACTATTAATGTATAATGATATAAAGGAAATACACATCGTATTCGTATTTTTAACATCACGAAAATAACCGATCATGATCACGGAAGTTGCTGATCGCACCGGGTGAACCGGTCGCGAAAAGTGTACCGCAATATATCGTATTGTGAAGTTCGAATTGTGATATACCCGTTAACCGGTATTATCGCCCAACCCTACTACCTACCCTAAATTTTAAAGAGGTGTAATCGGAACGACATTTTTTTGTTTGGCCTTTGTTGTATGACTCTTGCATGTCAATATATTATTTTTGTGACAGAAATGGCAAAATAACAGGAAGATTGTCAGTTACTGATTGGTTGACCTAATGTGCCTGATCCAAAATTACCATTAATACCATTTGGTCACCCCCGATGATACGCCATTGTTTTGAGTGGGCACAATACACAAGTGAGTGAGTGTGAGCGAGAGAAGTGAATGAATGAATATGGTTTTACGCAATATTCCGCAATATCACGGCAGGGGACAACAGATATTGGCTACACAGATTGTACCCATGTGGGGAATTGAACCCGGGTCTTCAGCGTGACAAACAGACGCTCTTAACCACTAGGCTACCCCACAATACACGAAATAGCCGGTATGCTATGCACATGCAAAATATGGTCTTACATGGCCTTTATGCCGTTTATGTACAGCCTGTGCGTACGTGCGTGCTTGCGTGTCATCCATTGACCCAAAGACCAGCTTTATGGCAAGAGATGACTGTACAACAAAAATGCTTTCCTATTAAAACCAGCTAAGATTACAAGCTAGATCAACGTAGTAGATATCATTCCTGGCAGAATAATAGTTCCCATAGATTTTTTAGACTTTATTTCCCAGGTAATATTTTATAGTAATGATAATACTGGTTATCAATTAAATGAATCACTGGTAGATCACCAATGATTACTATTTGTGCTAATTTTACAAGATCTGAATTTCTGTCAATATATAAATGTCTAATAACAAATAGAAGTGAAATTGTGAATCATTAAGTTCAGCAATGTTTTTTGTTGTTGCAAACTTCCACGCTTGGTTTGTTGACGTGATGCCAAGTTTTTAACTACGCATTACATATGAAATGGTACTACACATAAAAACTAACTGCACACTTGCTGATACTTTTTCAATGTATGTGCAAGTATACACTGTGTCACATACATAGGCAACTCGTGTCAGGGGGAACCATGCCCAATTTTGTGAATTATTTTTTTGGTGACTTTCTGCCATGCATGTTGTTTCGCATCCCAAAATGACAAGCACATGTGGAGAATGTCAAAGGATGTATGAAGGATGAAAAAACTAACTGCCCTTGGCAGCATGATTGGGAACAATCGCTATCTTGTTAAAATTTGTATTTTTGAAAGCTTTAATCAAGGTTTTACGAGATGCAGAAATGTGCGTCCAGTATGCACAGATGTGGAGAATGGACGCAGAAACCCAAAATTACTGCATCCAAAGTGACACACAAAAATAAAAAAGACCACTCATTCATTCAATGCTCTGAAGTAATTATCTGAACATACACTACACTACACCATTTCGATACTTTTCAGGACCCTCATATTAAAAGCAAGGACCTCCACATTTATTGATGTGGGTGTAGGGGACCCCACACTTGTGTAAGTCAAGTTAAAACCCTGTTTAATGTACTGGACCCGGTTGTATCAAACTTTAATGAAGCATTAACCTGCCATTAAACGTTCATTAAGTAATGTATCATTAAATTCTTTTGTACTAACGTTTTAATGACGCTGTTGTCATTAGTGCGTCATTAACTTAATGAAGGTCTTGGGGTATCATTAGAGCGTCTAAAACTTCCTGGAAAAGTGATGTAAGTAATCGGAAACATTCTGACTATCTGCGTATGGTTATTTGTTTTTATTGTTTTCATTGAAAAAGTCAGAAATGCCGATAATTGCCTATGTCGTTCTCCTTGATTTTGCGTCTGGCATGGCGTCACGCTTCACAGAACTTTCGTATGAGTATATCAAATTTCAGTATTGTATCTGTTTTTAATTTTCTAGTTCTTGCTACGATACTCTTTCCGTGCATATTCTAAAAGTATTGAGCTCATGTATGCTATGAAAAGACAAACTGATGTCCAAAAACTTGAGAAAATGCTGCTCAGATTTTTGCTTTGTTTACTTTTCCAGCAAGAGCTGTGTTATGAGCACAACACTCCGTTTTCACACCCAATGTTTCGGAATTGTGGGAAATATTTAGGAGAATCCCTGATTTTAATGAAAATATTTACATTAGGACGTCATTAAATAATGATACGCTAATAAGTGTTTGATACAACTGTTTTTAACGTTGCCATTAACTAATGATGCATTAAGGATTTAATGGATCATTAGGGTTTAATGTTGACATTAGTTAATGAAGCAATGATACAACCGGATCCTGGTATCTAAATTCAGAAGAATTTCATAACAGAATTTTTACACTGCATCCTATGTAATAATGTTAACCTCAGTATTAAAGCCCCTTCTTATATATTAGTCCTGTAATATATAAAATTTAAGTTTCATCAGTAAAGCCCTAAATTCAGATGTAACTTTAACAGAATGAATCGGGAAATGTTTATGATATTTCCAATATTCCAATACCTATGCTGCAGAATTTGGCATGAATGTCACCGTAAATCACTCCACTTATAACTTCTTTAATACGAGACGGTTTTTATTGTTGCTAAACTAATAAAACACTTGTATGGCAGAATATCTTGGGGCAAACAAAAAAAGTATAGAAAAGAGTTGCTGGTTATTTGTGCGGAAACCTCAGAAAGTATGAAGAAACTACCAAAATCTGTATCAGCTGAAGGGTACAAAAACGTATTGAAATAGCAAATTTGTAACTCCTTTTACCAATAATCCAGCCATACTGCACATCCCTAAGAATGAACTGTCATGTGAACTGTAAACAAACATATTAAATTGTATCCATTATCAGCTGACTGAACATCTAATGCATCTCAACACATGATCCAGGTGTGAAGGAAACCCCAGGACTTGGCAGGAGGAAACTTGTACAAATGTACTACATAATTGATAGCATTATCATCACCTGAAGTCATCAGTTACAGTCTATTGAAAAACAACATCACTGAAAGGAAATCAATGCTGCCATGAGATGCCATGACTGTCATTGACACAAATGTATAGCTGTATGTGCTGGAAGGAGTGTCATAGCATGAAGCACTGGGCAAATCAATGGTGGCTATGAGTCACTCTGACATTGTCCAGGAAGACACAGTCATCGTCTCACAATCCAAACTTAACTTCAGAATCAACCATCTAAATACATGTTATTGTATGTGAGTTTAAGATGAAAAGAATGACATTTTAAGAATGAAAGGTTGCGGGTAATGAGTAGTCAATTTCATTAAAACAAACCAAAACGTTGGCAGAATCAATAAAATCAGTCAATATGTGAAAAAGATGAGCATGATGAAAATACAAAACTTTGATAAAAATAATTCACATTTATAACTGGTATAATATGTTGTAATTCACTGCCAATGTGAAGATTGTTTAACCTGCAAAATTGTTACTCATAAACTTAACAATGGTATCAATTTCGCTATAAAAAAATAATGAGTTGGTTGCTTGGCCACAGAGGCTCCGACATTTCAAACTATCACAATCAAATAAAAACATAATTTTCAAACTTGAATATCATTTTTCACAAATATCAAACTTCAGATGACAAAATATAATGAGTATATTCCGTTTTCATTATAAATGGTCCACAACGGATGGCCAGACAATCCATCCCTCGGTCTAGACATAAATAATCAGGTTTGAGAGAATGGTATGACGGATGAGTCTCACCTGTTGACATGATGTAGGCTGGATATTCTTGGCCAAGCTACAAAACACTACCAAAGGCACAGAGAGGATCTGAAATGAAATGTGAATTCCTTGAAAGACAAGCAAGTTCTGTCGTTCTGCATAGAAATACAAGGTAACGGCCATGCATGAAACATTATGTCCATGGTGAAATCATTCTTAAACTAAACACATCACACAATCTGGAAGACCTTCTCCCTGTTTTGATATAGTTATAGGCTGTGAAACACCGCCTGCTGATGTACCTGGGTTTTCAGGACTGATAATCAAACATTGGCAGTCCTTGGGATCTATGTACAGGACGTGAGACCGGTCATCCAGCTGAAGCGATCACCAAATGAGTCAACAGTTCTGATCGGTTGTGTCAGACTCAAATCATTATAATAATTCTTTAATGTATACTAGAGAAAAGCTGCAGTAGAACCCTCTGCTTGCAGCATCATTAATAATGTATTCACATGCAAGCTCAAAGGCTGAATATGGCGTTCCCTCCAAAATTTTACCCCCCTTCTGCTAAGTTCCAACACAACTATGCCCACAATTGTCTTTGGACAGTAATGCAAGTACGCAAATTCCAGTGCATGGCCATTACCAATGAAAATCAATGCAAGTTTTCACCAGGAGCCTCCATTTGGATGATGACGAGGACTTGCATCCAGGCAGTGACTCATGTGCTTGTCATGGAAGCTGCAAGGTTATCTGGTACCGGCCAGAGAACAAGATAAAACACATTCTTGCCTAATAGATTCCTGTGTAGTAGCTGGGGGCTTCAGTGAACGTGCAGAATATTGCAAGTATTGATTTGTCACAGCAGTGCTGATGGCACCAAGCAAGATGGGGGGGCTGTGGGTGGCAGGCCAATAAATGGCCTGGTTTAGGGATCTACCAGACTCCAAACAATTTTCACAAGGCAATGAAGAAAAGGATCAACAACAAAATAAAAATCTGCTTAATTTGATACTTGGCTCCAATGCGCGCAATGAGATGGCTCAAAATAAAGCATTGCAATGTTCTAAGCATAACCACTGTAAAAAAGACACATGTTCATTTTTAATTTTCCCAAATAAAATGCAGATACAGGTTGCAATGACCTTGCATCTCTAAGAGCAATGCTCTGGCAGTGACAAGTGACAGACAGACAGACAGTGCTCAGACATTCATGTTTATAGTACCATTTGAGTTATCTGAAAATTGCCACAATTTAATGGACAAATATTTTCAAAGAATACATGTGTGAAAAAAGCCCTAACAACATGATTAACATCTCTCAGTGTCTTGTCTGCCCTTCTGGACTTCAGACTAAGTCAATTACTGCTACTGAACTGGTAAAACCAGCTTCATGATCAAAACAAACATATGTTAAACAGTATTACTGACTGACTGACTGACGAGCAACATCACGGCTGGGGACACCAGAAATGGGCTTCACACATTGTACCCATGTGGGGTTAAACAGTATTAGTACTATTATCTGCATGTAAAAGATCCTGACAACATTCATAAAAACTATAACATAGTTATAACACTAATGTTAATGGTCAGTCCTGTGATACATGTGGCAGAAATAAAATGAAATAAATAAATAACATGATGATGATAGAAGTCTTAAAACGGTGCTATGGTTATTTTCACAAACTGACAGTGCCAATAACTTTCCATCAAAAACATCCCAAAGTACAACTTGACACCATGTCTGATGTCAGTCTGTAGAAATAGTGCATGGCCTGAGCTGAATCACATTTACAATAGTTTATTTCATACTTTGGGAAAAATAGAAAACAAATTAGACATCACTGCACTTAGAGTGAGTGAGCGAGCAAGTTTAGCTTTACGCCGCACTCAGCAATATTCCAGCGGCCTGTAAATAATCGAATATGGACCAGACAATCCAGTGATCAACAGCATGAGCATCGATCTGTGCAATGGGGAACCGATGACATGTGCCAACCAAGTAAGCAAGCCTGACCACCCGATCCCGCTCGTCGCCTCTTACGACAAGCATGGGTTACTGAAGATCAATATTCTAACCCGGACCTTCATGGGTAAGTAACGCTTAGAACGCTCTGTAGACATGGTGGATCGCTGCTCCATGAAATTGCACATGCTTAGGAGAAAAGTAACAACTCAATATGCACACAAGTGTAAACAAGTGAGTGCTATTATAATATCATTATTAGCAATAATAATGATGGACAATCATGCTAATTAACTGTAAAACCCAACTTCACGCTGAACACACAAGCACTGAAGCAGGGATCATTTTGGATATTATATGATTATAGTCCGTCAACTTAACTTTTGGCACCGTTTTTCACAATTTACATAAAACTCCTGAATATTTTAAAACGCTACTCTGATCATATGGTAATTGTATACTGTGACCTAACAAGATATCGATTTTAGTAATTCTAAAACGATTATTAAAGATTTTGCCTTTAAACCTGTCATAAAATATATGTAAAACTGTAGAGAGTTTTACGAGGGGTTAACGCACGTGATGGAAAAGCCAACAACATTGTAAAATGTGTCAGCGTGATATGTATATGCACGGGTATTTAGGTTAGCACGCTCAAGTGATGTCAAAGATCGTCAACACACAGGTTGTGGTAAACACGATGTTGTACAAAGATGACCAGTAAATCATCAAAAGAGTTTTTTTCAAGCGCAAGGCAAAGCGAAAAAAACCCTCTCTTTTTTCAATTGAGTGTTTCTCCAAAAGACACTTAATGCCACCAAGATCTGCAAAAGAACATAGCAAAGAGTTATTTCCCATGACATTATTTCAGAGACTGACAATGACAATTGACATGACAGTTAAATCGGGGACCGTCTCAAAACATGCAAAGAAAAGATAGCTTGATGAATTCGATAGAAGGGTTGTGACGGACTTCATGCGTCGGTTAAATCGATCCAGTGAGTCCATATCGTCAAGCAAACTGAAGAAAATATTGTTCAAAAGAAGACCATGACATCAATGTATCAAAGCATACCATATGCAAGCTGATGCTCAAATTTGGATCTTGATACAAGAGATTGAGCAACCAGTATTTAAAGACTTCAATAAATCTACTTGTTTAAAATGGATTTGTGATGATTATACAGTCTCTTTAGATTTGCTTGCAGGCGTAACAATGTAAACAAGATGCACGCGTGTCACACCAAGTTGTTTGCTGTTCCATCGTATCATTTTACTCCTTGTATAACTACATCTATTTTTCATATTTTTATAAGATGGCTTCTTAAGAAGAAGCTTTAATAATTGACATGAAATTATGAAATTTAAACCTTAGATACAGTCCGTTTGAGTCAGAAACGGACCGATGAATTGCAAATTTTATCATTGTACAAAATTGCCACATAAATATAAATAGTACACATGTTTATCATTTACTAATACCTAATTTCTTATATTTGAAAATTTTCCGGACTCCACCAAAAAAGTTGTTTAAATATCTGTCGCGGCGGGGTGAAACCGCAGAAACGGAACAGCCAGTCATGGCGGGGGACATCTCAAAATCTATTCCAGGACACCTGTCGGTTCCTCGTCTGTCGTAGGGTCAGAGTCACGAATTAAAGGGATGACAAGTGGTGCCACAGTAACCTTGTTCAATGACGTTAGCTACCTTCTTGACACAGTTTTGCCACGTTTCAGTTGTGATTTTGTTAAGGGATTCCTTAACCAAAACCTCTACGTCACGAAATCTAAATGTTGTGTTTGATCTGGCAACATCTCCTTTGACAATACCCCATATCATTTCAATGGGGTTAAGGTCACAGTGATAGGGTGGAAGTTGCAGAATATCGGGACCCTTACTTTTTATGTAACTGTCAACTTTGTAGAAAGGTTCACCTTTGTGGGTTTTTATGATCTCATATAGCTGAGGCTTCGTTGCCTTTGAAGGCCGTGCGATCTGAAATTTGTCGAGCCATGATATCATATCACCTTTTCGATGTCGGGGTCCTGCATGCTGTGGTATGGGGCATTGTCCATTACAATAAAAGACTTCTCTGGTAGAAGTGGTACCAACTTGTTTTTAACCCAATCGAGGAAAACCGCACCATTCATCTCAGAATGGTAGTCTCTGTTATCGGTGGACTTTGCCCTGAGTACCAAGTCGCAGCCTGGGAGAAAGCCTTTGCTGGAGCAACCAGCATGGAGAATGATTAGTCTCTCTCCTTTCCCTAGAGGCAGCTTTCTACGTGACCCCTTATCACCCCCATCGGGTACCCACTGACTGCTGGCAGTGTGCGAGGCATTGATCCAGGTCTCGTCCAAGTACACTGGCTCGAACTCTTCCTCGCACTTCTTCTATATAACCCTGAGAAAATTATTTCTCAAGCGAACGATATCAGGGCGTTCACAGAGTAATGACCTATTCTCCCCCCGAAATTTTCTTATCACGATACCTGAAAGAGTGTACGAGTCGTCAGAGTGTGTACTTTGATACTCTGAGGTTGTAGTTCTTGCTTCAAATGCTGTTTTAAAATTTTCAGCGACAGGTATTTGTTTTCAGAATAGAGCTTGTTGATAGACTGCCTTAAGTTACAAGGTTCTTTTGAAAGTTGTCCAAATGTTTTAATTTGTGTGATTTTGACACGACCCCTACCTGCTTCGCATCACCCTCACAATGTTCGTGTTCCAGAACATTTGTCAGTACCCTTGCTGATTTTCCTAAAGCTTTTGCTGCCCGCTTACGGAATAAATTAATGGCATAAAATGGTTTGCCCCTTTCAGATTCAGCACGGAAAAAATCGTACACTTTAATCATCAACTGTTTCACGTCAGCATTGAACTTTATTTTTCATCAGGCATGTGTATCCCGTGCATGACGAGATAGTGGCTGTTCCGTTTCTGCGGTTTCACCCCGCCACGACAGATAACAACTTTTGCCTATTCAATGAAGATAATTTCTTAAACAACTTTTTTGGTGGAGTCCGGAAAATTTTCAAATATAAGAAAGCTGTTGGGTATTAGTAAATGATAAAAATGTGTACTATTTATATTTATGTGGCAATTTTGTACAATGATAAAATTTGCAATTCATCGGTTCGTTTCTGACTCAAACGGACTGTAGGTCATAAGATATAAAGAGCGTATGCCTAAAAACATTTTGAAGGCATTTTTGGTTAAAAGGTAAATTGCAAAAAAACAGGGTGCCAAAAGTTCAGTTGACAGACAATAGGGCCCATGCAGATAGATGTAAGTGGGCCTTGTGCCCTAGCACCCTGACAGGCTTCCCTTAGGAAAATTTGGAATGAAATGGTGACATCCAAGGTTGTGAATTTTTTTATCCACCAGTCTTTTCTGCAGGTTTTGTGACTTTCTTTTTCGTTTTTCCTCATCTTCCATGATGATTCGCTGTCACCAGCATGTGAGCCGGATACATTTGCAAAAAAACTTATAGAGGAGAAATGTGAGGTAAAAATGCATCACATCAGACAACTTCCACCATATTCTAATATTTGAAAACATAATGCGGGACATACTTCCTCAGCAACCAAAGGGTCAGGTTCAGTGTGTGAGTTTAGTTTTTTACTCCACGCTCAGCTATATTCCAGCTATATGGCAGCGGTCTGTAAATAATCAAGCCTGGACCAGACAATCCAGTGATCAACAGCATGAGCATTGATCTATGCAATTGGGATGGGTCAGGTTTTAGGCACTTATAGTCTGCAGTGAAAACGTACTGATGAATTTCACTTTAAACAAAAAAGTAAACCAAATAAAGTGAAATGAAGATTGCGAATATGCTAGGTTGGTGTTCAGTGTCATGCATGTGTACCAAAATCACATGTACGAGCATTTGACACCCAAAATACCCTGTCAACTATTAACATCAACAATTTAACTTCTGGTTTTAACTGTATGTTGTGATTAATGTTTTTCATCTATTTTATATTTTTGTTACATTAAACCGAAGGAAAATGGACACTTTGATAACACATGCCTTACTTTAGTTTGTTCTAAGTCATAATTGTTGGAAATTTGACAATAATATGTCAACATTCAGTTTTACAATATGGTGAGCATGGGCAATTGTTGGGAACTTCAATCTGTAAAACATATCTGACTATAACGATCAGTTTTAACAAAGTGCTACACACTGGAATATCTTAAATATATTCATTAAACTAAAGTAACGCATTATTGGACTATATCAATACTGATCAAAACATTAAGCTAGTCCATCAATAACCACAGTAAAACAAAAAAACCAATGCATTTTCTGGAACAGTATTGTTTTCCTGTCTCTATTTACAGTGATTGAAAGTGGTGAAAATATCATGGTATTGTCAGATGTTGGATCAGATTAGGGGTGTATCTGTAAGTGTACAGGTATCAGTCAAAAGTCTTTACTGTATGGAAAGCTGTATGAAAAAAATAAACATCAACAAAATTCACCGACTGATTCTGACTAAGTCTCCTGAATACTTTGCAGATTTTGAAAGAAATGAAACGGTAAATAAGATGACTGCCATGGTCACGAATGAACTTCAGTTTGGACACATGTGACCACAAAACTGACACTATGTGTGTCGCATATGTACCTTGTACATCAAGGAAAAGAAAAGAATATCTAAAAGCATTACACGTTGAAGAGAAAAAAGAACAAACCTCTGGATTAAACGGTAACGACCTGACAGAATGTTCCAACTAAACTCCGCGCTACTTATGTGTGACGTCACTTCTGGTAGAAACGATTGGCTGTTAGGACTGTGAACGGTTTATTGATTGGCTCTCTGTTTGTTTTTCTTTCATTTCATTGGTCGTTTGAGTTGAACCGGATTTAATAAGGTTTGTCTTGGGGGTCATGTTCAAAATTGGCCGCCACATGTGTTTACATTTTGAATGTCACACTTCGAATGAAACTCGGATCATTTTAAATGTTTTGAAAGACACCGAAGTAATTTTGGTGAGATTGTCATTTCTTCCAATCGTCTCGTTAACGGCATCACATCAGCAGTATGTCAGTTGTGCAAATATCAGTCATGTTCACGCAATTATTTTCGCGGGAAATCTTGTCACTCTGTATGATACGCTCACTTAGTATGATTCGCTATTCATTTATCTCTGTCAGAGTTCATTTGACATAATGCAAGCCGTGGATTAATTAGCAGACTGCCCTGATGTCATTTTATGTTAAAATTTCAGGAAAGATTATTAGATGGTGTTTTTTTATATTAAAAAAAACCCTTTGCTCACCCGGCCCGTGAAGATCCGGGGTAGAATAGGTCTTCAGCAACCATTGCTTGCCACAAAAGGCGACTATGCTTGTCGTAAGAGGCGACTAACGGGATCGGGTGGTCAGGCTCGCTGACTTGGTAGACTCATGTCATCCGTTCCCAATTGCGCAGATCGATGCTCATGCTGTTGATCACTGGATTGTCTGGTCCAGACTCGATTATTTACAGACCACCGCCATAGCTGGAATATTGCTGAGTGCGGCGTAAAACTAAACTCACTCACCTTTCCTCACCCTAACACAATCCCTAAAACCTCAAAATGATCCTAATAAATAGAAACATTTTAAGCAGGGTTTACTGAATGCTCATCTTTTAGAAGCTTCCAGCAAAAAGAAACTGTTATCTAGTAATTCCACCCTCCAGAAATTCCTGTTGATATGGAATATATGAGGTTACTAAAAAACAAGCAAGGTTTTCCCACTGCTTGACCCACATAGCCAACAGACCATCTGTATTAATGCTGAAGGAGTTATTGTCGGCACAGGTACAACAGATGTGTACCCCAGGTACGTTTCTGTATACAGAAACATCCCTTCATAAAATCAAAATGCAGAACAAAGACCCCTTCAGCTTCATATGCAGTGTGTATCATATTACCTGATTTAGATACTACCTCTGCATTTGGCCAAGGAGTAATATGAAACATCTAATATACATTCACATCATAATCCAGAACAAAATAAAAATAATTGCCATATCTAGATATACCCTACAACATGAGCTGAAAAAATGAACAAAACATTACCAGAAGGTAGAAGGTATTTTGCTTGTGTTTATTTGATGAGACTTAATTCCAGTTGGTGGAAGCCATTGACAACATTTGGTGAGATATGACATTCACATTTATGTTGATGTCACAGATCAATAATATGTCATCAGAACTATAATGCGTGTGGTTGTTGAATTTTTATGTGGTTGAAATTTATATTTCGCTCATTTTCTTTCATAAATTACAGTGGGTAATTTGAAAGAAGACTTCAAAATTTAGAATTACATTGAATGGAATGTATGAATGTTTTAAATCCAACAGCAAAAAGCTAGATGCTCACTCCATACACTTTCATATGTCAACCCTTGCAGTACTGCTGTTGATCATCGGGGTCGGAGAACCCTCCTGATAGCAGTGACGGATAGCGTCACAATCAAGTTGCAGCAGCTGTCAGCCGAGATCCTGTTAGCGTTGGGAACATTAACCCGTCGCTGATGTCTGTAGATGAATCCATGGCAGTCGTCCCGCAGCAGCGTTCGTTGACTAACATAGAAGCTTCAACGCAGACGACTTCGCTGATACATCACTCGTTGGGTGATGTCTACAGATGAGTACGTGGCAGTCGTCCCGCAGCAGCGTTCGTTGACTAACATAGAAGCTTCAACGCAGACGACTTCGCTGATACATCACTCGTTGGGTGATGTCTACAGATGAATCCATGGCAGTCGTCCCGCAGCAGCGTTCGTTGACTAACATAGAAGCTTCAACGCAGACGACTTCGCTGATACATCACTCGTTGGGTGATGTCTACAGATGAGTACGTGGCAGTCGTCCTGCAGCAGCGTTCGTTGACTAACATAGTGGCGACTTGGCTGATACATGAACCGCGGACAGTTGTCCCAAGCGCTGGGTGATGTCTACAGATGACATCACTCGTTGGGTGATGTCTACGTGGCAGTCGTCCCGCAGCAGCGTTCGTTGACTAACATAGAAGCTTCAACGCAGACGACTTCGCTGATACATCACTCGTTGGGTGATGTCTACAGATGAGTACGTGGCAATCGTCCCGCAGCAGCGTTCGTTGACTAACATAGAAGCTTCAACGCAGACGACTTCGCTGATACATCACTCGTTGGGTGATGTCTACAGATGAGTAGCAGAGAACGTGGCAGTTGTCCGGCAGCAGAGTTCGTTGACCAACGTAGAAGCTTCACTGCAGACGACTTCTCTGATAGTAATACATCACTCGATGGGTGATGTCTACAGATGAATCCGTGACAGTTGTCCCGCAGCAGCGTTCGTTGACCAACGTAGAAGCTTCAACGCAGACGACTTTCGGCTGGATACATCACTCGCTGGGTGATGTCCGCAGTAGAAGCTTCAACGCATGAGTTCGCAGCGTTGACCAATGTAGAAGCTTCAAGCGCAGACGACTTCGGCTGATACATCACTCGTTGGGTGATGTCTACAGATGAGTCCGTGGCAGTTGTCCCGCAGAGCAGTTGACTAACATAGTTGACTTCGCTGATACATCGTCGGCTGATACATGGGTGATGTCTACAGAAGCTGGCAGTCGCCCCGCAGCAGCGTTCGCTGACTAACATAGAGCTTCGCGCAGGCTTCGCTGATACATCACTCGCTGGGTGATGTCTACAGATGAGTAGCAGTCGCCCCGCAGCAGAACGTAGAAGCTTCAACGTGGTAGTGATACATCACCGCTAGGTGATGTCTACAGATGAGTCCGTGGCAGTTGTCCCGCAGCAGCGTTGACCAACGTAGAAGCTTCAACGCAGACGACTTCGCTGATACATCACTCGTTGGGTGATGTCTACAGATGAGTAGCAGAGAACGTGGTAGTTGTCCCGCAGCAGCGTGTCGTTGACCAACGTAGAAGCTTCAACGCAGACGACTTCGCTGATAGTAATACATCACTCGATGGGTGATGTCTACAGATGAGTCCGTGACAGTTGTCCCGCAGCAGCGTTCGTTGACCAACGTAGAAGCTTCAACGCAGACGACTTCGCTGATACATCACTCGTTGGGTGATGTCTACAGATGAGTAGCAGAGAACGTGACAGTTGTCCCGCAGCAGCGTGTCGTTGACCAACGTAGAAGCTTCAACGCAGACGACTTCGCTGATACATCACTCGTTGGGTGATGTCTACAGATGAGTCCGTGACAGTTGTCCCGCAGCAGCGTTCGTTGACCAAGGTAGAAGCTTCAACGCAGACGACTTGCTGATATCATCACTTGTTGGGTGATCCAGATCATGGAGAAGAAGCAGATGCATCCTGGGAACAGCGTTGCAGTGGGCGAGATGACGACATCCCGTTCCTGTCCGAGAATCAATGCAGGCCGGTCCTTGGCGCATCGTCAGCAGTCAACGCAGACGATACACATCAGAGAGGGGTCTGGCAGCTGATGAGGGGCATCCTAAGGAAGACGACAACTACGTCTTCACTGATGATGAGACGCTGTCTTGGGTGGCTAACGGCCTTCCGATATCATCCCCGACCAGAAGTTTGGGTCCAGGCATGCATCTAGATCTTCCGACTTTACAAGATCTTCGAGGTCGTCGTTGCATAACCCTATACAACGATCTTCAACAGATATTGGGGCACCTGGTGCTGAAGCAGATGGTTCCAGTCCTTTGGGACCTCCAGTGTTGCAGCCTGAGGTCTTCCTTGCAGCGTCGCAGAGTGTATCCAGTGCTGAGATCTGGTCAGCGCAGATTAGAAGTATGTCGCCGATGTCATCGTCGCAGTCTACCCGCAGTGATGCTGAGAGATCTTCGAAGATGGTGCATCTTCTTGTTGGCAGTCTACCACAGCCGTTGCAGAGCCAGAGGCAGCAGAAGTCAGCTGAGAAGCCGTTAGCATTGAGAACAGACGAGTCAGTCGCAGTCATCCTGCAGCAGCGTCCGATTACGAAAGCTGAGGTCCTCAATGCTGAAGATTTTGCTGACACTATCACCCGTAGGGTGATTCCGGCCATGGAGACGCATCCTGGTACCAGATGACCGATGGCAGAGCATCCAGTCGTACATACCAGACACCCTCAACTCTCCACTAGACTTAAGAACGTGGCAGCAACTCTTGGGTCTACTGACGTCGATGCAGGCTCTCACCAGCAGAGGAAGATTGCAACTTTAACCGCTACAGAGGTTCCTGATAGCTCATCTAAGTTCGCCATCCCGCAACATCTAAAGCAGTACGTGCTTTGGTGGACAGTAAGATCGAATGTTTGCGTGAACCTGTTTGAGAGAGCCAGATTACGATCTTCATCTCTAAGTGGATGCGTCCCTCCAAGGCTGGGGGGCACATCTCAACGACGAGGTTGCAGCAGGGCAGTGGTCACAAACAGAATAGTCTGCACATCAACCAGCTAGAACTGAAAGCAGTAATAGAATCAGTTCTATATTGGGCGGCGCAGTTAGAAGATCAGGTCCTGATGATACACACGGACAACTCCACGGTGGCCTTTTACATAAATCTGCAAGGGTCCACAAGATCAGCCTGTTGCTTCAACTGACATTCCAGCTGTTTGACATCGCAGACGAAATCAACCTGAAGATGAGGGCTTGCCACATCCCAGGGGCAAAGAACGTCCTAGCCGACGCCCTATCCAGACCAGTACGGACATCTCCCACAGAGTAGAAGTTACATCCAGAAGCGTTCCAGTGGGTAACAACACAACTAGGCCGTCCCCTCATCGACCTGTTTGCAACCCGTTTCAACCAGCAGGTGACAACGCCTTCCCTCCACCGATCCTACTACCACAAGTATTACGCAAGATCAACCAGACGAGGGTGCTTCAACTGATTGTGGTAACGCCTTATTGGCCAGCGAGACTATGGTTCCCAGACCTCATAGATCTTCACGGCGAACCAGTTCTACGATTACCAGATTGGCCGAACCTACTCGTCCATCCTCACACCAAGCAGTGTCACGGCAACCCAGAAGCGTTCCAGTTACACGTATGGAGCATATCACGTACTGCTTGAAGAATTGAGGTTATTCTACTAGAGCAGCCAAGGCTGTGACCTTGGCTCTATGAAGATCTACATGTAACTTGTATGATTACAAGTGGAGAAGTTTTGACCAGTATGCTGTTCAACAGGGTTCACGGCCAGGAAGGCGACACATCCACAAGTAGCAGACTACTTGTGTCATCTGAGGTCCACTAGACATCTGAAGGGCTCTACGCTGTCTACATACCTTGCGGCAATCAGCTCGGTCATCACCATGAAGACAGGCGTGAAGTTGACCATGGTGCCTGAACTAGTGGCCCTGCTGAGATCTTTCAAGTTGGAAGATCAACAACAGAAGTTCAGAGCACCAACATGGGACCTCAACATAGTGTTGCAGCACCTCATATGTGATGTATACGAACCGCTGATGCAGACGACATTTGAGTTATTAACTCAAAAGACGATATTCCTCCTCGCCTTGGCTACTGCTGCTCGGATGTCAGAAATACACGCCCTTGACTTCCGCCGTACCAGATTCGACACGAGAAAAAAGGAAGCAGTCAACCGCTATGACTGTAGACTTATCCCGTACAACGATCTCCTTCTGGATCAGAGCGGTGATCCTAAGAGCCTATAAAGCAGCAGGGTTAGAGCCTCCAAGAGCATCAAACCCACATGAAGTTAGAGTATTGGGCTCGACACTCGCCCTACATGGAAACTGCTCTATATCATCTATAATGGAAGGCTGCTTTCGGAAGTCAGACACTGTCTTCGCTAATCACTACCTGAGAGACATCTCCACAGAAGATGTATCAGGGATACACCAGTTCGGCCCTCTAGTCGTAGCGCAACAACTCACTGTAACGGCCGGACGTTGAAGAAACTCACCCTTGTCACGCAGAATCGTTGACTCCAGGCAACTGTCCATTGCCACCGGCTGAGAGTCCATGTTCCCCTGACTTACGAGATAAGTCAGCGCATGAGTGATACATAGACTCAGTTATGGTAATGTTCTTGCCTTAACAGATGGGTCGCGATTCCAGTTGCGGTAAAGTTCTTACCGTATCATATTGGGTCGTTGTAGATATGTAGACAACCAGGCGTCTAGTGTACTAAATCCACAAAACTTAGGAAGTTTACTTCTAATACGAATGTATAAGAAGGTGGTCCCCCGACAAGCATCAAGAAGCATTGAAGTTAGCCGCAGAATAAGAAAATTCCCAGGGGGTATATATATCAGGCGAACTCTGACATGAATACAATCATGCAGGGAATCCCGTTAGGTGGTTGACCCACCACTGATTCCGTCGGATTCAGTAAGCAAATAAGCATGAGTCAGGATAAGGAAAAATATGTAATATTTATGATAAAATTAATATTTGATACTTATCCTGACTCATGAGATAAAGCCCTCCCAACCTCCCCTCTCACCACATGGGTTTCCCTGTAAACCTGCGTGGGGCTTATATCGGAGAGAGTGAGGATAGAGGCATGCTGATGTCACCTGCCCGGTTTTGGCGGGAAATAAGGGAGGTAATTTCAGGGTGAGGGATTGTACGTTCACTTCAAGGGATTTGAAGGGATTCAAGTTTCCACTTGACCGTTCGGAAGAGAGGATGAGAAAGCAAATAAGCATGAGTCAGGATAAGTATAAAATATTAATTTTATCATAAAAATTACATTAACAGGAATAATTTATGCACTTTGGTATGGATTTTTTTGACATGATATTGTCATGGACATTTTTTAGCATTTGGAAATATGCTCAAATCACATGAAGTGTATGCAGCACCCCTAATCTCTGCAGTGGCTTGTGTGTGAAAAACGTGTGCACAATGGATATGATGTTTGGGACCATGATCTGCCGTGGATTAAAGTTTAAGTATATCCTCTGCACATGCGGAATGACGTGATAATTATTGTAAATATTGATGTGTGGAATCCATGATGGATGGTTCCTAAAATGTTTTTGTACACTGTGTTTGTTTGTTTGTTTGTTCCAGACATGAGAAGACAAGAATGACACAGTTAAATGTGCGAGGGGTGTCAGTTGACTTTCCCTTTGAACCATATGAATGTCAGAAGGCTTTTATGGAAAAAGTCATAGAATGTCTTCAAACGGTAAGCAACCCTACACTTCTAATGTCATGCTGTTAAAAACTGTTAATTTTTGGAACCACAGACATTAAAAATGACCAAATAATTGGAATCTGCAAAGCACTAGTTTTATTATGTCTGCTCTGATTTTCAACATGGTTGCTATGAGCCACGACAAAAAATAAATAGGCAGTGACTATTACTCAGCCATTTTGTTGAGATGAGATGAAATGAATTGGGTAGTTTATCTTGTCAGTGGGTCTCAACATATGTGATTAATTTTTCCCCAATATTTTGTACTTAAACCTTTATTTGATCTTTGTGATATTGGTGGTAACATCTACACCGAAACATCATATACAGTGAGACCTCTGATACCCGGACCCCAGATATCCGGAAACCTCGCCTTCCGGTCAATTTTTAGTAAAAACCAATCTCTTACGTTATAAAAGTGACTGTCTATAACGGATATTCGGTTTCCGTTTCCGGACGGTACATTTTACAAACAAACCGGCTAAATCAACACAAAATTGACTCACCTATCCGCACGAAGCTTTGATCTACCGCTAACCGTGTGAAGGGAAGTGCGAGAGTCCTACGTGTTTTGACATGAGACATGGTCGGCTAATCCGGATTAATGATCATCAAGGTATTGGTGGTGGTTAGAAGGCCTAGCTGACACTGAGTTAACCATTGAGTTCTAACTGTTAAGTTGTTTATTCAGTCAAAGCAATAAAAGTGTAGTGCGTCGATATTCAATTGATCACAAATGGCTAGTCAACCTACTAAACGCAAGCGCTACGCAGTGACAGCCAAGGAAAAGAAAGAGATATGTCTTTACAAAGAACAAAATCCCAAAGTAAGCTTTAATAATAGTACGAAGGCCTACTCAGCTACTTTGAGAACAATGGCGACCGTGAAAACCTGGACAAAATGTTGTCCGTCGTGTTGCAAAGGAGCGGCACCCAGTGTAAGCAGTCCTCAATGAAAGACTTTTTCAAAACTGAATAATTGTAAAGGTATGATTGTTATGTTGTGATGCTGTTTTTAAATGTCTATACATGTACAATAAACGCTTGATGATCATAAACATTTTTGATTTTCCTTGAGGTGTATGAAAACCAAAAAATCCAGATATCCGGATATTCAATTATCCGGACGATTTACGTAAAAACGAATGTGTCCGGATATCCGAGGTCTCACTGTATATTATACTGGAGTTGTACGTCCATGTAGCTATTTCCCTTGTTTATTTCCTATGTGCCCTTTATTTGACCTTTTCACTCTTGATTTCTCTCAAAGTGCATTTCATCACACTGGTATAATTTCCAAGGAAGCCACTTGACCAATAATTCTGATACTTATTCCAACTAATCTTGTCATCTGAATTTTTTCAAGAGGTTTGTATCTAATTTTTGTATGTTTGTAACAATAAACTAAATGAAAATCCTACTTAAGACCATTATTTGCTAAAGTATAATGCCATTTGTTTTTTTGTTATTGAGTGATTCACACTGTTTCTGTTTGTTTGTTTTTACAATATTCTACATTTTGACCTTTAATGATTACACGCTTGTATTCTCTTGTAAATGTCATATTTGACCATGAAAGTGCCAAACACCCAGGAAGTGAAATGTAAACAGTGTTTTGGATTAAGCTGATTAGTTATATATCAATACACTAACTTCTTTGAGAGGCAGTTAGAAGTTGGAGCAGTAAGGAAGGATAACAATATATGGATGAACAACTTCTTTATTGCTGTGAGAGCGATGTTTCGGTGTAGGTTCTAACACCGTTATCAAGCAAGTGATGAACAGCTTAAAGATGACGGATACTTATATACAAGTTAGAGCAGATGTTTGTACAGTACAACAGTGATTAGGAAGCCAGCCACAATAACAACACAAGGGCTTAGATGAACGTGTTAACAAATGAAGCCTGCAAAGTACACAAGGGGAAGTGAAGCCTGTGGTATACATAAATAGGGGATTATGAGGATGATGCATTCCATTCATAAATGGGGGATTATCGATGATGAGGATATTTAATGAGCTGGTAATACCCTTCAGGTATGTAGTAACCTTTGTCATGGTTGAGTGATGGCTGGAGTCTTTTGATTTAGATTGCTTCTTGGAGTTTCATGAGTTTATGGTCTTTGAGGTTGGTTGTTAGGGTTTGGGTTCTGTCCCACTGGATATTGTGGTCGAGATTGTCTTTGATGTGATCTGAAAGGGCTGATTTTGAGTCTAGTTTGGATACTGAGGTCTGATGTTTTTTTATTCGGATTTTGAGGGGTCTTGATGTTTCACCTACGAAGGTCTGTCCACAGTCGCAAGAGACGTGGTAAACTGTTCCCTGTAGTTGTTGTATCAGGCTGGTTGGTGGCTTGCCAGTCGCTTTGATGGTGTAGAGGATGGTGTTGCTTCTTTTGAAAACCACATCTATATTGGCCTGGTTTTTTTAGGAGTCTCTGGACTTTGTGGTTGACAATTCCGTAGTAGGGGAGGCTGACAAAGGGTGCAGATTGTTTGGGTTTTGGGAGTTGATGTGGTCTAGTAGAGCTTTAGGATCGCTGTCGGGTTTAAGGATGACAAAGGTATCGTCCAGATTCCGGAACCAACAGAGGGGTGTTATGGGGGATGTTTCCAGGGCTTTTTCTTCTAGGTGGGTCATGAAGATTTCAGTGATTAATGCTGATAGTGGGGAACCCATGGGGAGGCCGGGGGTTTGCGGGTATATGTTGTCCCGCCAGGTGAAGTATGTGGAGCTGATGCAGGAGTGTATCAGTTGGATGATACTGTCAGTTGTTAGACAGGTTTCTAGGGTTGGGTGGATTTCATCTATGCGGTTTCTCAGGATTTCAATGGCTTCGTCACACGGAACATTGGTGAACAGGTCAACGACGTCATAGCTGATTAATTTGCCGGGTTGGTTGATGTCTTGGATCTTCCTACAGAAAGCGGATGAATCTGGGATGAACGATTTAGCAGTTTTTCTGAGTGGTGAGAGGAGGTGGAATAGATATTGGGCTGTATTGTTGTGGATTGTGTCCCTGCTACAGACTAAAAGACTGGCTTTCACAGGGTCATTGTGCATTTTTATGGTGGCACGCGCATATGGTGGCGCATTCTGCAACTTGTATATAAGTATCCGTCATCCTTATGATGTTCATCACTTGATTGATAAGGGCGTTAGAACCTACACCGAAACGTCGCTCTCACAGCAATAAAGAAGTTGTTCATCCATATATTGTTATCCTTCCTTATATCAATTCACTGTTTTGAAACTTGTAGCTTCATATAATTACATTACCTGCAACTGTCAGACAGCGCAAAATTGTCATAGAAAACACTCAGTTAGAAGCAGGGGAGCCATTGTGTAAATAGATGCATCTGTGTGTATTTGAATGTCTCACCCTTCATGGCCCTAACTACCTTATTGAAAAATTGTAACTATGTAATGTGAATGATGGATTGCTTGTTTTATTAATTTGGTGATATGACATATTCTGTTCGTAAATAATAATGTAATGAATGTATATGTTTTCTAAAAACTCTTTTGGACTTTGTACTCAAAATGTGTGTGAATTCAGACTTGGTCTCGTCGCGATATGGCTGGAAGAATGCCGATGTGACGTAAAACTCAACTTCACTATCCTTATTGAAAACTTCAAATTAGGCAACACAGTTCTGTTAATGTTTCTGTTTGAGTTGCAAATCTGCAATTCTGTATAAATTCGCGGGATTTTTTTCTTTCATTGTTTGCTTAATATAAGAATATTTTTTAAGCAATGGCTTCTCAAAAGAAAGCATCAGTTGTAAATGTCTCCTAAACAAGGATCATCCAACCAGAGGGCTTGCATTGTTGTTGTTGGTTGTGCGTGCTGCCTGGTTCCCAGGACGTTGCCCAGGCATCTTTAAAGGGGGGCATCATGGAGCGCACGGATTTTTATTTGCAGTTCGTTCCCACTAAGCAGGTCGAATTGAAGAGAGAGTACAAGACGTGAGATAGGATAACTATATAAACATACAAGTTATAGCTAAAATATTTGAGTTAATGGTTGTGCTTTTTCCAGGAAAAACATGGTATTCTGGAGAGTCCCACAGGAACTGGCAAAACCCTGTGCCTCTTGTGTTCCTCTCTGGCATGGCTTCAAGGTCGGAAGGCTCAAGTTCATCTCAACAAGCAGATTGGTGTGTCATCATTATTTGGTGACAAGGAAAATCTTCAAGATGACTTGATGGCAAAAATCTCCTCCAAACTCCAGCAATCGTCTGGCTCTTCCTGGGGAACTAATGAGTATGGTAGGTATATATTTGTATGACAAAAACGTGAATGACTGGATTGATTTACAAGTAAATTATTTGGTGATCGGAAAAAAGTCATAGGAAAAAAGGTCATAGGAGAAAAGGTAATGGGAAAAATACCTATTATAAAACTTCCTTTTCTCTGGCTATTTACATTGTTTATACCTCGTAAGGATGGGAATGCCACAATAACTCGGTGCACCTAGTGGCTGCAAGAGTTGTATGCTCCCAAAGGAGTTGAGATTGACAATACGATGTGCCGTTGAGATTGACATCCAGTGAACGAGGGAAAAACAAAGCGCCTTTGAGCAGCTGAGCTGAGATGAGCTGGACATACAAATGTATGCATGTATGTATGTATGTATGTATGTATGTATGTATGTATGTATGTATGTATGTATGTATGTATGTATGTATGTATGTATGTATGTATGTATGTATGTATGTATGTATGTATGTATGTATGTATGTATACTGTATTTTATAAATACTATTTCACTTTTTTCTTCAGAAATGAAAACATTCTGTTCTCAAGTTGTTTGCTAAAACTAATTCAACAACACCTGTTCTAGAAATATCCTGTTCTCCATTTACTTTGTACTGGATCTTGTTAATACTTTTTTACTTTCATCTTCAAATGTCAATGTTTATGAATGTGAAATAGTGTTCATTTAGTAAATGTTTTCTACATAATTTCATCTTAGATCTTTGATTTAAGGTGATAGAATAATATTGTAGTGTTGATAAAGTTTTGAGTCACGTGTATACCTTTCACCATGACTCCGTCTGTGCACATTTGTCTTTTCCGGAGCAGACCTCTAAAATCGTTCAATATTTCTTCACCAAACTTGGCACATAGATAGATCTGGTGGTGTACTGGTGCCTTTTGGTAGTTTTGGAATTTTGTATAAATTATTTTTGGCGTTTCAATGGCAACAAGTTCGACTTTGACTGAAATTAGTGGTAGTGCTCTTTTCCGGAGCCGAACTCTAAAACCGTTCACTATTTCTTCACCAAACTTGGCACACGGACAGATCTGGTGGTGAACTGGTGCCTTTTGGTAGTTTTGGAATTCTGAATAAAATATTTTTGGCGTTTCCATGGCAACAAGTTTTACTTAGACTGAAATTGGTGGTTGTGCGCTTTTCCAGAGCAGAACTCTAAAACCGTTCACTATTTCTTCACCAAACTTGGCACATAGATTGGTCTGGCGTTGTACTGGTGCCGTTTGGTAGTTTTGGAATTCTGAATAAAATATTTTTGGCATTTCCATGGCAACAAGTTTGACTAAAACTAAAATTGGTGGTAGTGCTCTTTTCCGGAGCAGAACTCTAAAACCGTTCAATGTTTCTTCACCAAACTTGGCACATACATAGATCTGGTGGTGTACTGGTGCCTTTTGGTAGTTTTGGATTTCTGAATAAAATATTTTTGGCATTTCCATGGCAACAACTTTGACTTCGACTGAAATTGGTGATAGTGCTCCTTTTTGGAGCAGAACTTTAAAATCCTTTCAATACTCTCCTTCCACTTTTCTATATACACACCTAAATATTTGACATAATCATAACTCGTAGACATAATCATGAAGAGTATTTTGCCATTGTGGGGGAAATTGATGACTTTGTCTTCTTGTTGTAGTGGTTCCGAAGGTCATCTATGCATCTAGGACACATTCTCAGCTGTCTCAGGCTGTGCAGGAGCTGAAGAGGACCACATACAACACGTAAGTTTCATCAGCAGCTGTCCCCTGGGATTCCAGGGGATGTCCCCTCAACCCAGTTAGTGGACCACATGACGTAAGGATGGGGTGGTGACCAACATGCCTCTGGGCAAGGTTTCACTGATTGTGAGAAAAAACTCACTGATTACTATTTACTCTCCTATTGTGGTATTAAGGGAAGGCTGCCAATAGTCTCAGTGGTGGTTACAGTCATCTGTTGTGTCCTGGGGTCCATGGAGCAGCTGTATAGTGTTGTGGTTGTGTTAAAGTGTCAACTCCTGTGTGTTGGGGTCGAGGAAGCAGCTGTCTAGTGTTGTGGTTGTGTTATAGTGTCAACTCCTGTGTGTTGGGGTCCAGGAAGCAGCTGTCTAGTGTTGTGGTTGTGTTACAGTGTCAACTCCTGTGATCTGGGGTCCATGGAGCAGCTGTAAAGTGTTGTGGTTGTGTTATAGTGTCAACTCCTGTGTGTTTGGGTCCAGGGAGCAGCTGTGTAGTGTTGTGGTTGTGTTACAGTGTCAACTCCTGTGATCTGGGGTCCATGGAGCAGCTGTAAAGTGTTGTGGTCGTGGTACAGTGTCAACTGTGTGTTGGGGTCCAGGGTGCAGCTGTAAAGAGTTGTGGTTGTGTTACAGTGTCAACTCCTGTGTGTTAGGGTCCAGGGTGCAGCTGTATAGTGTTGTGGTGTGTGGTCAACTGTGTGTTACAGGGTGTCAACTTGTGTTGTGTTATAGTGTCAACTGTGGTCCAGGGTACAGCTGTTAAGTGTTGTGGTTGTGTTACAGTGTCAACTCCTGTGTGTTGGGGTCCAGGGTGCAGCTGTATAGTGTTGTGGTTGTGTTAGTGTCAAGTGTCAACTGTCAACTCCTGTGTGTTGGGGTCCAGGGTGCAGCTGTATAGTGTTGTGGTTGTGTTATAGTGTCAACTGTGTGTTGGGGTCCAGGGTGCAGCTGTATAGTGTTGTGGTTGTGTTACAGTGTCAACTCCTGTGTGTTGGGGTCAGGGTGCAGGAGTATAGTGTTGTGGTTGTGTAGTGTCAACTCCCTGTGTGTGTTGGGGTCCATTTGAAGATGTTGTGGTTGTGTTATAGTGTCAACTGTGTGTTGGGGTCCAGGGTGCAGCTGTATAGTGTTGTGGTTGTGTTACAGTGTCAACTCCTGTGTGTTGGGGTCCAGGGTGCAGCTGTATAGTGTTGTGGTTGTATTACAGTGTCAACTCCTGTGTGTTGGGGTCCAGGGTGCAGCTGTATAGTGTTGTGGTTGTGTTACAGTGTCAACTCCTGTGTGTTGGGGTCCAGGGTGCAGCTGTATAGTGTTGTGGTTGTGTTACAGTGTCTACTCCTGTGTGTTGGGGTCCAGGGAGCAGCTGTATAGTGTTGTGGTTGTGTTACAGTGTCAACTCGTGTGATCTGGGGTCCAGGGTGCAGCTGTATAGTGTTGTGGTTGTGTTACAGTGTCAACTCCTGTATGTTGGGGTCCATGGAGCAGCTGTGTAGTGTTGTGGTTGTGTTACAGTGTCAGCTCCTGTGTGTTGGGGGTCCAGGGTGCAGCTGTATAGTGTTGTGGTTGTGTTACAGTGTCAGCTCCTGTGTGTTGGGGTCCAGGGTGCAGCTGTGTAGTGTTGTGGTTGTGTTACAGTGTCAACTCCTGTGTGTTGGGGTCCATGGAGCAGCTGTATAGTGTTGTGGTTGTGTTACAGTGTCAACTCCTGTGTGTTGGGGTCCAGGGAGCAGCTGTGTAGTGGTTCTGTTACAGTGTCAACTCCTGTGTGTTGGGGTCCATGGAGCAGCTGTATAGTGTTGTGGTTGTGTTACAGTGTCAACTCCTGTGTGTTGGGGTCCAGGGAGCAGCTGTGTAGTGTTGTGGTTGTGTTACAGTGTCAGCTCGTGTGATCTGGTGTCCAGGGTGCAGCTGTATAGTGTTGTGGTTGTGTTACAGTGTCAACTCCTGTGTGTTGGGGTCCAGGGAGCAGCTGTGTATTGATGAGAAAGTCAGCAAGGAAACAAACAACACATCTAAGGTAACAGTAGAACAACATTGTGAACAACATAGTGGGTTCAATATCTTCAATATCCTGCCCTCTGTCCATCTACCTGTAGGTTTGTCTGGAATATCCTGACCTCTGACCACCTACCTGTAGTTTTGTCTGGTATATCCTGCCCTCTGTTCACCTACCTGTAGGTTTGTCTGGTATATCCTGCCCTCTGTCCACCTACCTGTAGTTTTGTCTGGTATATCCTGACCTCTGACCACCTACCTGTAGTTTTGTCTGGTATATCCTGCCCTCTGTTCACCTACCTGTAGGTTTGTCTGGTATATCCTGCCCTCTGTCCACCTACCTGTAGTTTTGTCTGGTATATCCTGACCTCTGACCACCTACCTGTAGTTTTGTCTGGTATATCCTGACCTCTGACCACCTACCTGTAGGTTTGTCTGGAATATCCTGCCCTCTGTTCACCTGCCTGTAGGTTTGTCTGGTATATCCTGACCTCTGTCCACCTACCTGTAGTTTTGTCTGGTATATCCTGCCCTCTGTTCACCTACCTGTAGGTTTGTCTGGAATATCCTGACCTCTGTTCACCTACCTGTAGTTTTGTCTGGAATATCCTGACCTCTGTCCACCTACCTGTAGGTTTGTCTGGAATATCCTGCCCTCTGTCAACCTACCTGTAGTTTTGTCTGGAATATCCTGCCCTCTGTCAACCTACCTGTAGTTTGGTCTGGAATATCCTGCCCTCTGTCCACCTACCTGTAGTTTTGTCTGAAATATCCTGACCTCTGTCCACCTACCTGTAGTTTTGTCTGGTATATCCTGCCCTCTGTTCACCTACCTGTAGGTTTGTCTGGAATATCCTGACCTCTGTCCACCTATCTGTAGTTTTGTCTGGTATATCCTGACCTCTGTCCACCTACCTGTAGTTTTGTCTGGAATATCCTGACCTCTGTCCACCTACCTGTAGTTTTGTCTGGTATATCCTGACCTCTGTCCACCTACCTGTAGGTTTGTCTGGAATATCCTGACCTCTGACCACCTACCTGTAGTTTTGTCTGGTATATCCTGCCCTCTGTTCACCACCTACCTGTAGGTTTGTCTGGTATATCCTGCCCTCTGTCCACCTACCTGTAGTTTTGTCTGGTATATCCTGACCTCTGACCACCTACCTGTAGTTTTGTCTGGTATATCCTGCCCTCTGTTCACCTACCTGTAGGTTTGTCTGGTATATGACCCTGCCCTCTGTCCCCTCTGTCCACCTACCTGTAGTTTTGTCTGGTATATCCTATCTCTGCCCTCTGTCCACCTACCTGTAGTTTTGTCTGGTATATCCTGACCTCTGACCACCTACCTGTAGTTTTGTCTGGAATATCCTGACCTCTGTCCACCTACCTGTAGTTTTGTCTGGTATATCCTGACCTCTGTCCACCTACCTGTAGGTTTGTCTGGAATATCCTGACCTCTGACCACCTACCTGTAGGTTTGTCTGGTATATCCTGCCCTCTGTTCACCTACCTGTAGGTTTGTCTGGTATATCCTGCCCTCTGTCCACCTACCTGTAGTTTTGTCTGGTATATCCTGACCTCTGACCACCTACCTGTAGTTTTGTCTGGTATATCCTGCCCTCTGTTCACCTACCTGTAGGTTTGTCTGGAATATCCTGCCCTCTGTCCAGCTACCTGTAGTTTTGTCTGAAATATCCTGACCTCTGTCCACCTACCTGTAGTTTTGTCTGGAATATCCTGACCTCTGTCCACCTACCTGTAGTTTTGTCTGGAATATCCTGACCTCTGTCAACCTACCTGTAGTTTTGTCTGGAATATCCTGACCTCTGTTCACCTACCTGTAGTTTTGTCTGGAATATCCTGACCTCTGTCCACCTACCTGTAGTTTTGTCTGGAATATCCTGACCTCTGTCCACCTACCTGTAGTTTTGTCTGGAATATCCTGACCTCTGTCCACCTACCTGTAGTTTTGTCTGGAATATCCTGACCTCTGTCCACCTACCTGTAGTTTTGTCTGGAATATCCTGACCTCTGTCAACCTACCTGTAGTTTTGTCTGGAATATCCTGACCTCTGTTCACCTACCTGTAGTTTTGTCTGGAATATTCTGACCTCTGTCCACCTACCTGTAGTTTTGTCTGGAATTTCCTGACCTCTGTTCACCTACCTGTAGTTTTGTCTGGAATATCCTGACCTCTGTCCACCTACCTGTAGTTTTGTCTGGAATATCCTGACCTCTGTCCACCTACCTGTAGTTTTGTCTGGAATATCCTGACCTCTGTCCACCTACCTGTAGGTTTGTCTGGAATATCCTGACCTCTGACCACCTACCTGTAGTTGTCCCCGGCCGCAATGCGAAACGAGGAACTATGTATTCAGTGGCATCCGTCCGTACATACGTACGTCCCGATCCAATGTCTTCAAATTTGGTGACGACCTACATTGGGGGGTTACGCAGACACCAGTTGGTTTTGGTGACCTTGACCTTATTTGAAGGTCACCATGGCATTTTGACGACTTTTCAAACTTTTGTTAACGCGATGTCTCAAGAACTGTTGTACCAAATGTCTTCAAATATGGTGATAGCCTACCTTGGGAGATCAAGCAGACACCAGTCGGTTTTTGTGACCTTGACCTTCATTTCAAGGTCACCACAACACTTTGACCACTTTTCAACCTCTTGTTAACGCGATATCTCATGCACTGTTGTACCCAATATCTTCAAATTTGGTGACAGCCTACATGGGGGATTACGCAGACACCATTTGATTTGGGTGACCTTGACCTTATCTTCAAGGTCATCACGACAATTTGACCACTTTTCAAACTTATGTAAACACGATATCTCATAAAGCATTGCATCCAGTGTCTTCAATTATGTTGACAGCCTACATTGGGTGATTATGCAGGCACCAGTCATTTCTTGTATGTGACCCAAAACAAAAGTAGTAAATATGTTATAAATATTTCGTTCTTCTGGACATTGACACATTAGTGGCAAACACTTGTTTTGTCTGGAATATCCTGACATTTATCAACCTTCTCTTTGGTACTTGTCAAAAATGATCATTTGGTGTGTAAGGCTCTTCTACAACTTGTAAATCAGGATGATGTTCCTTCTCGTACAAATGACATACTTGTAGTGTTTTGCTAGGTTCCTCTGTTTGTTGTGTTCTGTAGGTGCTCATGTGCAGGGCCAAGGTGCAGGCAAGAAGATGCCATTACTACAATGTGCTGGATGGTGAGTATACATCATCCCCATTCAGTAATACCCTCACTGGCACCACTCTTTATTGCCCGAACACGTTTTGCAGGGTATTATTTTGGACTCAATCTGTCCATGCAAATTTATCATTTCCAGAGCAGAACATAAAAACCATTCAATATTTCTTCACCAAACTTTGCACATAGATAGGTGGTGAACTGGTGCCTTTTGGTAGTCTGGGATTTCTGAATATAATATGTTTTGCATTTCCATGGCAACAACTTTGACTTGACTAAAATTGGTGTTGGTTCCCCTTTCCAGAGTAGAACTTTAAAATGTTTCTTCACCAAACTTGGTACATAGATAGATCTGGTGGTGGACTGGTGCCTTTTGGTAGTTTTGGATTTCTGAAGAAAAAAAAAGATTTTGCATTTCCATGGCAACAAGTGTTACTTTCACTGAAATTAGTGGTAGTGCTCCTTTCTGGAGCAGGGCGTAGATTTGCGAAGCTCTCATAGCTCTAAAGTAGTCGTAAGTGCCATACATTAACATTAACTTAAGACTATCTTTGCGCTAAGAGGGCTTTGAAAATCTAGGCCCAGAATTTTAAATCCTTTCAATAATCCCCTTCCACTTTGTTGGTATTCAAGAACCTAATGATATAATTTAACATTACCACTCTATTTCCAGTATCAACATCATTGATGTACATCAAACCATGGAAGCACTCAGGCAGCCTGTTGTTCATACAAGCATGCTAGTATATGAATAGTTGACATGTATATATGTTTTCGTTGGATTAATGTGAAGGACAATGTAACATTTGATATAGTCATAACTAGTTGACATATTTATGAAGAGTATTTTACCATTGCGGCGCATATTGATGACTCTGACTTCTTGTTCCTCTGTTAGTTGGGATGCTTTAAAGAACAAATAAACTTTATTTTTCCTTATCCTGACTCATGCTCTTTTGCTTGTCTCCTTCCTCTTGCGAATATAGTGGAACACTTGTATCTCCCTAATTGAAGTTCCCTTCAATGTAAAATCACTAATTAGTACACCACGAGTTACCTCCCTTCCACAAGCACGGGAACGAGGGCGCCACCTCTACCCATGTGCCTCACTCTCTCCTTCTTCGCCCAGTGAGCTGGACGTGAGAGCGCCTGTGTCTCCCGACACACTATATCCTTTGATTATATTTAGTTAGTTACCTCGTATAGACATCTATAGAGGTTTAGCTAGTATTCTTCAACAATTATATATTGATATTTGAAAGTCGTGTTTCTACTGTTTATTCACGGGACCGTGTGGTTTCAGTGGATTACGCGTTGATAAAAATTCTGTACTGTTGCACATTACGTTTTATTCTGCTGCTGATCTGCATTTAATATGCCCTAGCTGTACTGCGCCATGTTTCAGGTTATTCCGTTGCAGTTCGCGGTACTAATTTATCCAATTCTGCCTTTAATAAATAATTACTGCGTTTGAGGCAGCAGCAGCGAAGGTCGGCGTGTATGCAGAGTCTAGCCATGACTGATACACCTGAAGCCCCTCGCCAGTCTACTGCTGTTGGTCGACCCCCCTCCCGTCTGGTGTTCCGCTAGAGTGGTGGAGAGGCGTGGGACGTAGTCCGCCGCCTCCAAGAAGCGTCCTGCTTCCCCAGACATCCCATCATCGCAGCCGAAGACTAGAGGGTTTTCTACTGCATCTCAACGCGACCTCTGAGGGGAAATCAACGAAGTCTACTTGAACTTTCTCAGCCGAGATTGTTCCCGTCGCAGATTTGGGCCTGTATGATGATCAGCTGATCATCATACCTGATGTACATCAAAAGAATGACCGATGTCGACAACAGTGATGTCAGCGCAGATCAACACTAGGACTTTCTCAACCGAGATTGTTCCAGCCACTGAACTGGGCCTCTACGATGATCAGCCGATCATCATCCCCGACGTACGTCACAAGAAGCGACCGGAGACAGCTACAGTGACATCAGCAGAGATCGCCATGCAGCCTGAGGTCTCTACACTGACGTCAGACGACTTCCCTGAGGGCCCCGGCGCTAACATCGCAGAGAGGGCACCGACTAATTCGTCGCAGACCATCCCAGATGAACTGTTGCGGCAAATCATGATCATGATGGAGGGCCACTACAGACTGGAGAAGCAGCCAGCCCAAGGCCTGAGCCTTCGCAGAGGTTCCAACGCATGACGACACCCCAGAGGCACCCCCATCAGCGTAGCAGCCACGAAGCCACAGCCGGCGAAGGAAGTCGCAGACCACCTCGACGAAGGACCCAGATGTACAGCCCAGCGAAGGTCTTCGCAAGGCGGATAGATCATCACCTTCCTCGGCTTCATCCTTAGATGCGGACTCAGACCATCAGACCTCACGGAAGCCTTCGCTGAAGGTCAAATCGCCGTTCCCCAGGACCAGGCAGAGGAAGCTGCGAAGGCCTTCAGCGAAGGACACCTGACTACACAAGAGCCGGCTGAAGCTATCAACATTCTCCTCACAGGTCTCGAGAAGGTCAACCCATAGGCGCAGATCACCAACACGATCCGGCGCCGTTCACCGCGCCGATCTCCTCGTACATCACCACGTCGATCGTCTCACAGGTCACCACACAAGTCTGCACACAAGTCTACAGTCAGGTCTCCCGGCGTCACCCGACATAGAGATAGAAATACACAGTCCACCATCAGAAGAGCATCAACCTCTCATCAGCGATGCTGGGATAGAAAATGATGGAGGCATCATTTTCTCAGACGCTGAGATACGATATTGGATGGTAAACAACCTACATCTCTCTTCACCTTCCAAGAGTGGCAGCTTCAAGCAGACATACCTGATAAAGGAAGACGCAGAGGCAGACGCCATCACCTTACCTCCGATCGACTCGATTGCTGCGGTGCCACAGTATGTGGACACAGCCTACCATAAAGCCATAACAGTTCAAACGCCAGAGGCGTATGTTCTTGGCCTTAATAGATCTAGAACGATCAATGAGATTCTTATCACCAGATTTTCGTGACACGACTTCTGAAGATGATAGGATGATCTACTCGGCTCTATTTATGCAGAACCAGCAAGAACCACACCCTGTATGAAGCTAGCGCCATATATTGATCGGATTCTAAACACTTCGCTAAGGAAGTCCCAGGCCACCTCCCCGAAGGAGCTAGAGCCTCACCAGTTACAAGGGACGCCACGGAGGAGAAGGCGCTTCACCGAATCCCCCACATATTGCTGAGTGCGGCGTAAAACAAAACACTCACTCACTCACTCCTGTTGAACACAGAGGTCGATTCGCTGAAGCAAGCGCTCATATATTATATATATACTGATCGGGCTCTGACTTCGATACCTTCGCGAAGGTGAAGGCTAAGTGGCTCCAAGTCTACCTCACACAGAAAATCTAGAATGGATACTCGAGAGCTTGGCGAAGTCTCCGGCGCCCACCGAGGAAATCTCCTCCAAGGTCTCCATATATTAGCCACTCGTCATATATAGCTACTTCGTCAGTCCGTTCAAAGACATCGCTTAAGTTGTCTATCAACTGTATGCTATATGCCGTCTATAAGCCTACGCGAAGACAATTGCACAGGCTATTTACAACACAGAACGTCGCTATATTAATTGGTCAACGACGTTTCATAGATCTTCACAGAAATCAACCTTTCCGTATAGATTGCTAGAATATGCAATCCCCGACTACTGATCACGATTATCTACATGCGTGACCATTACGCAGATCTGCAGACAATTCAATATCGAAATTGAACAGCAGCCTTGTTACAGCGAAAGTATAACTCATAATCGTCAAAGTTTCTGAGAAGAAATATGTACAACAAGTTCAGCTTTAATTCTACAATTATGACGATACATTCATGTATACAGTCTACAAGCTGACAACTTGCAAGTTTATTGTACCTTTTATATAAGGAAGTCGGAATTATATTCGAAACTGAAGTTACATTCGACAGCCAGGAAAATAACCTACCCAGCATTAATATTACAGAGCGAGGTATTTGGCCGGAGGTTTCGCGTTTACCTTTAACCCTCAAACACGTGGTCACTTTCGGGTAACCGAGGGAAGCTACGGTGAAGACCGACGATTGTGCTAATATCAACGACGGCAAGATTTTATACAAGGTTTTTCCTGCTACACCGGTGACATCACAGCGCTGGGTATTCTACAGAATCAAAATGCCTTGTTCTGATTGGACCACGTTGGACATCGACCTCACGAGAGGTCGATCTTAGTTCACAGTTCAAGACTTACGTTACAAATGACAACTATATATCAGTGATCGAGCAAGCCTCCTTACAGTCCAGTTAATCTGAACCTTCATGATTGGGCTGCTTTCTTCAGGTTAGAGACCTCCCCTGTCAAGTTAGGGACGAGGCACACGCGGCAGTCAGGCAATTTTACATAAAGTTCAACGAGGACAGACACACCTGGTTGTGCACCTACATCGTCAAGGACTTCGAGGCGAATAACCTAGACGACGTGGATACAAGTGGATCTAAATCCACAGCCGCCTCAGACTACAGCTGAATTTCATAATCAAGCTACTAACACAACTAGATGGTTAGTAAACATACTTAAACTTTCTGATTGGAGAATTAAAACGGAAGTTTCACCCTCCAACTTGGGGATCTGAATATAAGTTCCAACACCTCACAAGTGAGGTTTATGAACACGCCTGGATGACATACTTGGACTCCATGATCACGATGATTCTATCACGATGGCCAGCAAGAGCACTGTATATTTATCTCCACCGAACCAAACAGAAGGGAATAATGCAACAGATTATTTCCTCTATCCTCAACTTACGCAGAATGAAATCTCACGTACTATATCTCCGTTTGGATCAGAACTGTCATACTACGTGCATACAAGACGGATGGACCCAATCCGACCCTCCATGAGCTTTTAATACTCATGATATTAGAGCGCTAACTTCTACAATTGATCTACACAATGTTAATTGAAATAATGGAGGGTTTATTTTCTGGAGATCCGA